AAACATCTAAATAGATACAACTCTATGGAAATTAATTATTTATTATCTCCACAAGCGATCGCAATTTGAGTAGATCTGTGTAAATGCATAGATAAACTGCGCTGTCAGCAGGCATTTCATAATCTAGAATGACAAAAACATTATTAGTAATTCTGATATAACATGCCAGTTGACAAATGCAATAAAATACGATGTTTTGTTTGTTATATTTCAATATTCCAGAGAATATTATTTAGTGAATTAACATTATCCAGTGAACTATTCTTCCCTCTTTAGCCTATTAAATATGGCATGCGATTTATCGTGCAGCCCTATTATAAACCTACTAAAACTGTAGTTTAAAATGAAGTTGATATGACTCCTTTCCTTTATTTATTTTCTCCATTTGAAAACATTAGACCTTCTACATTTAGTTTGCTTATTGTTAATATTAGTGTTGCTGCTGATGCTTTAAATAAAATATTTTTTTTATTGTTGTAATATGAAGATTAAATTTAACATGGAAGACTGCAAATTTTCAACACTTTTTTTAAGATGACTGAAAGGAGGAAAAACCAAAGTGAAGTATGGACTTACTTCACTCAGTCATTTATTTACTTTATAACAGTAAATAAATATCGGTTATCGGGCACATAAACATGCAAATAATTGGTATCAGTTATAAAACATCAATATCGGTCGATCACTAGTTGTCATCCTTTCCTTTCCGTGAACTTGTTTATGGAGCGCCGCGCCACACTTCTGTTTTAAATCTGTTAGCTTAATTATTTAAGTCAGATATATTTCGCTTTTTTTTTTTTTTAATGAAAACAAATTGTTATTTTTATTTTAGGCCTATTACTTGCATTGGCTATACAGCGCCACACTTCTGTTTTAAATCTGTTAGCTTAATTATTTAAGTCAGATATATTTCGCTTTTTTTTTTTTTAATGAAAACAAATTGTTATTTTTATTTTAGGCCTATTACTTGCATTGGCTATACATTTTCCTTAAAGCATCCCATTTTGTCCCAGGGCTTGAAAGCCTGTGTCTAGGCTAGTTAGGTCCTGCAGAAACTTGTGAACGATGCTCGTATTTGTGGCATCACCGTTTAGTGACATCACTGAACGCTCCGTGAAAACGTATCGTCAAGTGTCGGTCACAGCGCCTTTTAATTGCAGTTTTGAATCCAGCAATTATTTATTTACAAATTATAAGTTCCGATTATGACAAGTGTGGTTTTGTTTATAAAAAGCTTTGTTTATTAGAGGAATATTTGGTTAGCTGGAAAATCTTACATCGCGACCATGCTTTTGGATGCCGTTCGAGCCCATATAGCCTACATTTGTGCGGCTTTGTTCTTGGTCATGAATTTCCACAAATTCAATAATATTTAGGCATCGTTTCTTTTCCTAAATCCTCACCGTCTAACCCTCTAATTTTGCTGGTTTATTTTATTGTGATTCACTTTTTCATCACTGTTTTCGCATCTCTTACTGTGGTAAACATGCGGAAGGGAAATGAAAGATTTCATGGCCATGAATTAAGAATTTGTTCGATGTATTAATTTGTTCCCTCATTTTAGTTAAATCATGGGTTATTTAAGGAACAAAATTAATGAAACATGGACAGTGGCCACAAATTAATAAGTCGTAGGAATGAATGGACTATCCTTCCCCTGCAGTGCCCCGCAGCCCTGCAACCTTCACTTAATTGTTTCAAATATGAAACAATTATCTGGGGAAATGACCGTTACTACATTTCTATTGCATTCCATGTTGAATAACTTTGTGTTGTTTCTATTTTAATGTACTTTTAAAGTTTAAATGACATTAAAAGCTTAATTTGTAATTATGAGTGAATGATGATGCATTTATATACCGTCACTCACAGCCACTCGCACGTGTTTTGCGCATGAGCCGCACTCAGCCCAAAATTAAACCGCTTAATCGACCATCGATAGCTTTAATCGATTGCATCTCTTATCGACAATTAGTCGATCATCGATTAATCGTTGACATCCCTACGGAGTACCATTGCAATATTAACCAAACCATACAAACAAAAAACAAATGCCAACTGCAATCAACTGTAGTACAATGTTTCAGACAGAATTTCCAAATTACCAGTCAAAATTAAATTTTTCTTCCTATTAACTACCTTTATTTGTACAAATAAGCTTCGATTATTCAATCATATATGAGGGTTGAAACTGTCCATCATAAACCACAGCTTGTCACAGATGCTGACCATACATCTCAAGGGGAGCATAACCCAGACCTTTTAATTTTACTTCACAAGGAAAATGGCAAAACAACCAAGCATGCTAAAAGCAATAAACCTTCCTTAAATCTAAGTAACATAAACAGCACTAAGTTTCTTACTGTTCCATTTGTAGTGGAAATTATAGGTCGAAACTGAAACAATTTGTTTATCTGCATTTGTGCTAGCTTACCTAATCATTAAACCCAACCACATTGAACTTAGGATGCAAAACTTAAAAAAATAGCAATGGTGAATTACCTTGTTCATGTTTCCAGCTTGCTGGGGATTGATGGTATTGTGTGCCCCCATCTGTGGCGCACCCTGGGTAAGCGTCTCCGCCAACACACTGCCAGAAACGCTGACCCCTTGCCCGGTGCCCGGTGCTCCCTGCATGGCCTGACCCTGGTACTGCATACCCGGAGCTGCCCTGCCTCTTCCGGCCGGCCCCATCACGCCATTCATCATCTGCCCCTGCGGAGCCATGTTCTGCCCCATAAGTCCATGAGCCTGGTTGTTATTGTTCAGCATGGCCGGGTTGAAACCTGCATTGAGGCCCATGCCCGGACTGTTGTTGCCCTGACCGGAAGGGTTGCCGACCGGCTTCGGAGGTTGGGTCTGGTGACCGGGTGAGCCCTGGCCCATGGAACTCTTCCCCAAGGCACCCAGTTGGCCACCCATTCCAGACTGAGGGCTGAGGTTTCCAGCCAGACCAGAGCCGCTCCCTGCCTGCAGGAGCTGGGACAGCTGCCTGTGCTTGGCAGCAGCGTCTGAGACGGTGCCCCCCATCCGGCTCCCCACCCCTCCGTCTCCATTAGAGGGCATGGACATCAGCCCCAGGTCTCCGTTGGGTATCAACTCATCTGGAAGATCATTCTCCAAGTCGAACAAGGACACAAAGTCTAGAAAAAGAGAAAAAAGGGTCATCGTCCCATTAATTAACCAACCAACAGGCAACTCAGTAGTGATCAACTAATTTATCAGTTTGGTCAAAAAATTACCAATATTTGTCCAGTTTAACTTGATACTACATTGACAATTGGCCCTTAAAGGGATAAATCATCAATTCTCAACTGTACTTTTTTTTAGTTGTCGTCAAATATTTTGTGAGTTAAGTAAATTATGTACGTCTCAATTGCTATTATTATAAATGGCGATAAATATGCATATGTAATGCAATTTATTATCAATAGGTTATCCTGCTATCAAAACTTTGGCTTCGGCCCATATCAGTTAACTTTTTTCACTGACCAACTTGACTCCTGTTAACAATGAAATCAAAGTTTTGACTAATAAAGGTCACCCTATGCACTCACATACAACTTTGTTTTGGTTTGAAAACGACGTGAGGTTGCTATTGTAATGCAACCCTCTACGCACACCTTGGCAATATAATCACCATTGGCTAGTAAATTTTTTTGTTTACTCGCCAGACTGATACTATTTTACACACACACAATGTAGCATACTACTATATGATTCCACCAAACGCTCAGTGCTCATGTATCCGCTGAGAGCAGTCTCACCTCGGCTAGTCCTTCTGACATTCGCCACTGGCTCTGATGTCTCTGCAGTGGTTAAACATGATATAATTCATTTTGGGTAAATCTAACAGGCAATCTTTGGTCTCATGAATCAATTATTTCTTCCAGGTCATATCGATTTGGCTGAGCACAAAGTTTTATTTATTAATCGTAAAACAGCGCTGACTTTGTTGCATACATTTGCAGGTCTCTACGCTTACTTTTCTTTTTAGGAGCACTTGTGCTCCCAACTTAAAAAAAAATGTAGGAGCATGTTTAAAATTTTAGGAGCACCTTCTAATCAATATTTTATCAAAAATTAGCCTTCCCATTATGAAGTGATTTACAGTGGAATTTTGTTTTTAAATTTGTAATGGCATTTTTTTTAACTTTATTAAATGTAATCTTTTGTCAAATTCTTAAAAAATTATATTTTATAAGCTTTTAAAAAATTGCAATTAAAACGACAGAATAAGAACAAGTAGAATAAGAAACATAAGTTACCAATCAAATGAAATCACTATTAACAAAATTAATTTGTAGAGGTGGCACAGAAGAACACAAAAGTGGCTTGGTATACTTTGACATTTAATGAGGCTCAGAGGTGGCATGAGTGCAAAATCCATAAATTCATTGTGAGATTGTTTTAAATATAACATTTTGAATATAGAACTATTAAATGATTTAAATAACTGAAAAGATACTTTAAAAATGAAACTAAAACTGCCAGCAGGTGGCGGCAAGTCACTGATTTTATCACTGAATCATTCATTCAATTGATTCATTCGAACGGCTGATTCATTCAGGAATGAAGCAAGTGCCTGTCTTTATGAAAGGGTAATCGTGAATCACTGACTCACTAGATTCGTTTAAAAACGCCCGTTCATTCATAAACGAAACACCGCTGTGTTTGAATGGAGATGCGCAGCGGCTCCGCTGTGTCTTTGTTTTAAACTATTTTCGACGACGAAATACAGCAAAATCAGACAATAGTGTTATAGTCAGACAATGTAAGTCACTTAATATTAACATCGTTTATTGAACTGTTGTATTAAATCAGTATCACATTTACAAACTCCCGTAAAAATCATTAAAAGCTGTCACTCATCTTAGTTCATCGCGATCTCACATTTATAATCAACAAAGCTCTCTACACTGCGCAATGAATCTCTTATTTGCACCCTGTCTACATTTTGCTTATGAAAGGATTCGTGAGATATGTCTGTGATACATTATTCAATGCTGCAAAACCACGTAGAAACCTTTGAAGCTCCCCTGAGCGCAATCACAAATATGATGATGATCGGGTCAGTCGCACTGGTGATCCTAAAAAAATTCAGTTGCACGCCGTAGTTTTCAGTCGCAAATCCGACTAAAATGGTCGCACTGTAGAGCCCTGATTTGACTGAATTGTTTGCTTTTGTCTTATTTCCTATTACATAAGTCTCTTATTCTTTGTTGTGCTTGTCATATTTCCTTTTATTATACATTCAGTGAAGATAATCACAGTACATGTGCACATATTACCTAAATCACATAATATGTTTTATATTTTTAAAATAAAAATGAAAAGGGTTGGTTTATATTTTGAAGAAAACGAAAAGGCAGTGGTGTTTGATATCATTTAGTTTTATTGTAATGAATGTACGCGTTGCATGAACCACATTTTTGTGGCGTCACGATATGGGAAGATATGCATAACGCCGCCAAATGTTCACACAGAAGGAAGGCGTAAAGAAAGGTGCTGTAGTATTGTTGTTGCCACCGCCACCATGTCGTGAAGGTGCTGTTTCTCGTTGTGAAAGCGAAACTACTTTGTTTGGCCTTCCAAACGAGGACGATATCCGCTTCGTCATGCCTGGAGCTGATCCATGTTGGTCGCTGAGGAAATATATCAACTTCACGTTGTCGATCGCTGGATCGGCTTTCACCGTGCACGAAGCAGAGTCCAGCCCGGGGTTGTCACATGTGGTTGCCACAAGCCCACCGGACGCTCATTTGTTGAATCCGCCGGCCGCGTCGTTTTCAAGCCCGCCCGCCCGCTTCTGCTCACTCAAGCCAGCCTCCGCTCACTCAAGGCTGCGTTGTGTGACGCGGTTTCGTTGTGAAAGTGAAACTTTGTTTGGCCTACTAAAAGAGGACACGACTAGAAATCAGTGGTTAAGTTGTATTTACAACACTGTTCCAGAACAGTTCAACCCAAATATTCAGATGTGTCCAGAGCATTTTATGGAGGACTGTTTCCTGATCCTGGTAGAGTAGACTACAATGCCGGCTGTTCTGACTCACAGACTGCAAGTACGTTTTATACATTTAAAGAATTTGCCACTGACGATTCAAACGCGAGTTTTTTGGGCAGTGTAGAGTAGCACTTGTTGTTTGTCATTTCTCCGATCACAAATGCAGACATAGTTTTATGTAAAAAGACCGTATAAGTCATTATAATCCGCAATTATTTCCCCACTGGATGCAACAAATGCCTCGTTTATAATGGGTTTT